AGAGAAGGAAGGACAGAGAGAGGAGAGAGAGAAGGAAGGACAGAGAGAGGAGAGAGAGAAGGAAGGCAGGAGAGAGAAGAGAGAAGGAAGGAGAGAGAGGAGAGAAAGAGAAGGAAGAGAAAGAAGAAAGAAAAGGAGGGAAGAAAGGACAGAGAGACGAAAGAGAAGGAAAGAGAGAGAGAGGAGAGAGAGGAAGGAAAGAGAGGAAAGAGGGAAGAAAGGACAGAGAGGAGAGAGAGAAGGAAGAGAGAGAGAGGAGAGAGAGAAGGAAGAAGAGAGAGAGGAGAGAGATGGAGAAGGAAGGAGAGAGCCCATGGTCATTCATTTCAATCCAAGGAAAGTTTGATTCGGGTCCATCTCCTGCCCTCAGGCCTGTCCTTCCTGCAGCTCCCACCGTGATGAACAACCCACTTTGTTTTATTCCTGGTCAACAAATCTGGTGAGACCCAAAGGTGTTTTTTTCAGGAGGCAACTCAACTTTCTGTTTTTTTTCTTTTGAAGACGTTTCACTTCTCATCCAAGAAGCTTCTTCAGCTCTGACTGGATGGCGGGGAACGGAAGGATTGATATTCCTTTCAGACCGAAATCTGATGAGGAAGAAAATCGAAAGAAAACCACCTGTGGCTGCTTTCTATTTTTGCTTTATTTATTGTTTGAGCTCTCTGAAACCAAATCTGCACCCCTGTATTAAACCTGCCAAGGGGAAGATAACTCCAGCTCGCCCCAAAATGCCAGGACCTGATGTGCCACGTGCTGCTGCTCTGGCACCGGAAGAGAGCTGGTATTTGGCTCCGCAAAGAGCAAATCTGCAAGAAAGTGTTTTTCAGGGCACTTCCCTGTCTCCTGCCCGGTTGCTATTCTTAGCGCCCGGGTAGCCTGGCCTGGTGGCTTGGGAAAGACAGAGGCTTTCTGTATCCAGCTTTGCCAGCCCTCCACGATGACCTGATTGGTTGGTTTTGGAAGGGGCACTGGTCTCTACTTCCGGGCAGCAGGCTGGGTGCCAGCGTTGGCACAGCCCCTTTACTGCCACCTGGGGAACCACTTCTGTTTTCCTCTCTTATCTGGGCATCAAATTCCTCCTCTCACCTGAATCTTGCCAGGGTTTGAAGGAGACTTTTGGCCCTTTCTCACCTCCTTGGGGCACCTGCCCTCTGGAGATAAATATTTATCCAAACCCTCCCGCTGAGCAAACCTTTCCCCAACTCTGGCTGCCAACCCAGCTGGCCAGGGCTCCTGGTGGTCAGCCCGTGGTCTAGCTAGCCTCTCCCTCCAAGCCGCACATTGTTGCCTTGGGTGCCATCTGCCAGGAAAGGCTCGGTTTCACCCCATTTCTGGAGGTTGAAAAAGCCAAAAACTTTTTAAAAAGGTTCTAGAATAGAATAACAGAGTGGGAAGGGACCTTGGAGGTCTTCTAGTCCAACCCCCTGCTTAGGCAAGAAACCCATCACCACTTCAGACAAATGGATATCCAACATCTTCCTAAAAACTTCCAGTGTTGGAGCATTCACAGCTTCTGGAGGCAAGTAGTTCCACAGGTTAATTGTTCTAACTGTTGGGAAATTTCTCTTTAATTCCAGCTTGCTTCTCTCCTTGATTAGTTTCCACCCATTGCTTCTTGTTCTACCCTCA